ACTCACAGCAAAAATTGGGTGAGAAGGTTGGACTCCTACTGCAGGCGAAGTCAAAACAATGCCTGCTATTTGCTGCCACACTTTGGAATCAAGGGCAGCCTGTTCATGCATGGCAAGTAAACCAGTTACTCCACTGAGTATACTGACTGTCAGATTTACCAAAAGCCAGGTTAAAACAATGCAAATTTATTACCTTTAAGACTATAGCTCCACCAGTTGAATGCCCAAAGCAGAAGCAGGGAACTGCTGGATTTTCAGCTAGGACCTTAGTGAGAAAAGCTTTCTGCAGGGCAGTAAAAAACGACTAAATTAACATGGGACGAAAAGGTAACTTTTCATTTGAGAGACCTGTCACTCTGAGTTTGTCATGTACATGTGAACCATGCTGTTAAGTATTACTGACGTGAAGCATGCAACTTACCATGTCGGTAACAGCAAAATCTAGAGAATGGACATACGCGTGCAGCCCATCACTTCCTCCATGTCCTGAACCAACGTAAAAAGATCAAGCTATTGATAGCAAATTCCCATAACCAAATAAAATCAATAAAACCAGTACAAACTTTGGCACTAGGAGCTCCACAATCTAAATGCTTCATTTAGTTGCCAGGAATTTAACCTTATTTACAGAAAAACAACTAAATTCATGCTCTAACTAATTAGAAGGTCATCAGATATATGTTCTGATACAAGAAGCATATGAGACTCATCCAGACCAAATAATTGAACTTCGAAACATGCACTCAAACCAATTTAATCTTGAATCATCCAGTTTACTCAATTTTCACATAAATACACTCGACTTCCAGAGGGGCACATCTCCAGTCAATTGCGCATGGCAAATACCCACGAAATAATTCTTTCAATCTGGACAAAGGGAAGTTAAACAATTATGCACACGCTTCAGTTAAACATTTGTACATGGTTTGAATTCTGTTTTTCTAGATTTAAAAAACATGACTGATCATTCACACACACAATTTTAAGGTAGATTTTAAAGACTCAAATGGTAGGCTTACTCATCAAGGAGGCCTTCAAATGTTAGGCAAGAATGACATCCACATGGAATATATTAACTCCCTGCAACATACAAATATATATATGCATTGTTGAAGTCTATGATTCTAGACCATAAAGCAGTAAACATATGGACTCTTTTGGCAAATAGATTATTTATTGAAAAGAAGGATAAATAATCAAAATATCGTAGAAGCTTGATCTTTGGGAGTGAGCTCCTTTCACAACAAACTATATTGGGCAAATCATTTCTGGAACAGCAGAGCACATTCCATTTGGATGATCACAGACTTACTGCCTCACTGGTGACTTTTACATGTTCAATTCATACTTTCCTGTTGCTCTTTCCTCACATACATGCACACACTTCGTCTTGGTTGAGCATTATATCAAAATTGGATTTAAACAAGCAAATTTCTACACCACAGTCCAAAGACGAGCCTTAGAGAAGAAAGGAGCATGACTTAACCGGGATCTTAATGATTATACCAAAACAGGAAAATGATGCATTGCAGGCGGCAGTTTGGAAGTCTCACAAGTAAATGGGTAGTGTTATCATTACGGTGTTCTATAAGAACTTATTAGCTTACAGACTTTTGTTTTGGGTGGGGGGTAGGTCAAAACAACATAATGTCAAACCTTCAAAGTCCCTAGAAGATCCTAATATGTGTTGGGCGTTAAAGTTAATAACAAAATTACCTTGAGGCTTCACTTAATTGCTTAACGCAGACTAGTTCACTGTCAAAATTATAGGAAATAACAAAACCAAAGTTTTTGTCAAGTACGTACACCCATCCATACCTATAAGAAAAGAAAATTTCAAAATCCTCAATCATATACATGAAATTATTACATGTAGCCTCTCAATTTCGACACTAAATCAAACCTCAAGGCAACTATTTGTAATTTAGACGTTTAGTTGTTCATTGTAATAACTAAATTAAATCTCAAAGGCGCCTTGCGTATTTGTCTCCCTATGTTTATTATTAATCAACCTTTTTTCACGCACTGGAAAAGAAATGAATATGTTGTGAAATATAAAGAGTAAAATAGAATTGCACAGATCAAACCAAACATTACTTATTTGAAATTTCACACATAAGCAAGGAACACAAACACGCAACTATAAGAAATGGTACACTAGTCAACAAATCTTATCTAGCGGCTATGTGCAGATTTTATAAATATTATCTCGTCTAACATACCACATTTTAATACTAAGGATATATCAAGTGGAACCTCCCAAAGATCAAAGATTTTGCTACCAGACCTTGGATAGGGGTCAACAAAATCCAATAAAAACAAGTAGAATACTAGCACAAACCTGTTATATTAGAAGCATAGCACATCCATTAAAAGACATCATGCAAAAAAATCAGAGATACCTACTTTAACTGTAAGTCTTAACTGAAAGTCTGATCCACCTAAAGGAGTTATAAGCCAAAAAGATGCAAGTATGCAATTAAGAAGAACTCCGTACCATCTCTAATTTCAAAATGAAAAAAAATAGGATCGTCACAACTATAACTTATCCTAAGCCTTCAATTGGATTCTGCAATTTTTTCTCTAAATTAAGTATGCATAAATGACACAAGACAACTTCAATATTTCAACTCACCAATCCAATCCATTCCATAAACCTTGAAGCCATTTGCATTCAGCTTCTTCGCAAAGTCATCATATCTACCACTGTTAAAAATGTTACACAAGTTCAGTGTCGTGGAAGGAAATTTACACCAACAAAAGCAAAATATAGTTGCTCCGACCAAAAAAAAATAAAAAATTCGATGCAAAGGAGTGATAAAAACCTGTGTTCATTAAGGCCGTGCAAGAGAACTACCAAACCCCTACATGAGAACAAAAAACAAAAGTCAGTTTAATTGTGAAAATTATTTTTGGCTCATACAAATGGATTAATTGTATCAGACCAAAGAAACAATTTAACAAGAAAAACAAGAGTTGATACAAGACAAATTCGCGACATCAGAACAAATGACCCACTTGAAATCATGATATTTTCATCTCAGTCAAAAGGTTTCATAAGCTCACAAAAAATGACGCAAACAAGATATAGACACAAAATTAAACTTATTTACTGAGGCCAGAAATAATAAATTAAAATAAATAGAAATGAGTAACAACCCTTCTCTAAAATGTTAGACTCAAGACTGAGCTCACTGAAGTACTTAAATGCAGTTTCAGAATATAATGAATTTAATCTTCTCTAAATGTTACACACACGTCAAGACTGAGCTCAATGAAGTACTTGAATACAATTTCATGAATATAAGGTATTTTGGCGTGTATGATGGCAAATGATTTCAGGAAAAAGCTATACCTAGAACTGGTTCAAGCAAAAATGTAGAGATTCCAGATGTTCGAAATCATCTTTTTATGCTGATACCGGCTACTTTTCTCTATAGAACGACAACAGATATAAGGGCATCCACATCCATACCCATTCATTCAATCACAATTACACTCTCTCTCATCCACATCATATCCACATTATCTTTTCATTAAACATTTCCTCATTTGAACACAAATCCATATTTGTTCATTCATTTAAATACAAAATGAGGGGTCCATCATAAATAATGTATAACTTCATGGTCCCACCACTTTTTAATGTTTGTGGGAAAATTGAAAATTTATTTTCTATTTTTAACTCTTCGGTGGGCGTTCAATACTCTTAACACAATTAGTGGGCCCCATAACTTTTTCGCATTAAATGAACGCTTGCATTGGTTTAAATGGAGAATGGACCCGTTTAAACGGCAAATTAACGCATCGATGCAGATGCTCTAAGTTCTAAAGAACAAATTATACCGTGAGGCGGCCTAACCATTAGGCACGTCAACCCATCATAATTTTCTTAACCACCATGCAAATTTACACCATTAAATGTTACTTTTATCAATATTGGAGATTTTGTGATGAAAGTATATCAATTTGTTGTAGAAGTATGTTGTCTAATGGTTAGGTCAAAACCAATTTCAAAACCAACAAAATGTAAATCGAATTGCCACTGCAAAAGGACCAATTTCAAAACCAACGAAATGTTACAAATATGAGAAATTACCTAACTTGAACCTTAACCGGGGTCCACGACTGAGTAAAAATGGTGTCCCCTCTCGAAGTTGTAAGCAGTGAAAACTCCCTTACTGTACTCCTAAAACCCTCGTCCTCATTACCCTCCACCACCCTCCGAATCGCCATCGCCCTCCGCGCGGCCACGTCCTTACCGACGGCTGCTGCCGCGCATTTCCGCGGAACCATCGCCGCCGGAACTTTCACCATCTTCCCTGTCGTGGCCGGAAACTTCTCCTCCTTCCCGCTACCTTTCTCGGCCGACTCCTGCACAGACCGCCGCCTCCCGCGGAACGGCAGCGTGAGGATGAGGAAGAACGCGCTGATCAGCCGCCATACGCTCCGCAGCGCGTACAGAGAAAACAAGGCGTTGATTCTACCGCTCGCGCCTGACGTCAGCAGTACGGCGGCTGCATCGTCCGCTCTGCTCGCCATCCTTACTCGTCTCGGCGGATTTGGTGTCCGTGTTGGCAAATTCTTGATTCTATTGAATTCTAGCCTAGGTTTAGGGATCAAACAGATCTTCGCTCGAAGGCAACGCTGATTTGCAATGAAATTAAAGGGTTTCAGAAACCTAAAGCAAATCATCAACCAAAAAAATGGGGAATAAATGTCGAAATGAAGGGATTTTTGAGACTCAGAAATGGCAGTTCAAAAGGCAGAGGAAAAAATCTTTGCTGAAATTTCGGCTTCTCGAGTTCGAATAAAAAGGGGGGAGTGAAATGTGGGTCAGCTCACGAAAGCTATCGTAGGTGATGGTCCATGGTCTGCCACGTGTCGGTATATGCGGCGATTCATGATAAATATTGGGAACAAGTCAAACGAAAGGATCCGTATGGGACACGTGTGGATATATGTGGTTGTTGAGGTTTTCAAGGGAAACAATTGAACAAATCTGGATTGGTGTACTACTAAATCTACCTGCAAACTTGGAAGGGTCAAAGTAATATGTAAAATATGTTATAAATAAGAAAATATAGGAAGAGGTGAAGAATATATAATTATTTAATTTAGTTTTTTATTATTTCTTTTTTATATTTATAGTTGTTATATTTTTATTTATACTAGGTATTTTTAAAAATTTTAATTTCAAAATATAGCTTTAGAAAATTTAGTTGGGATCGTCTAGGCTCAGGTACCCCTCGTACCTACCTAACATCAGGTACTCTCTTATATTACCATTAGATTGACTTATAAATCAATATCAATCATTAGATTCAAAGTACGGGACATCCGAAATTCTTTTTGCCTCGTACTCCCATCTACTTGCAAAAAAGCCAATGATGCCCTTATGTCATTAAAAATGAATTATAAAATTATAATTGTATTTATTATTAAGACCTTACATCTATATTATATGTATAACAATCCTTCATAAACAAAAATATATCATCACAACCTTAACATTTATCAAAAAAAAAAAATTCCAACGACGTTATTCTTCGACATTTTTTATTTTTTATTTTTTCTCGTCCCCCTCCTCTCTTCATCGTTGGATCCAAGAAAATTACCAATCTACATATGTATATGTTGAAACGATTCACAATGGTCAATTGAAATACCGATATATGATGGCCAATCAGACAATATCGATTCATTTGTTTGCAGAGATATTTTGAATCCAGGTATATTTCGAATCTAGGTATATTTCGTATGTTGGTTGTGTCTCCGTACGTTGTTACTCGAAATTTAAAGACAATCGACAATGTGTGCATAGATTGGAAATTCAATTCATGTATGTGAAATGTATTGTGTATTTTGTTGTTCAATTCCAGATTGTTGACCTTTAACTCACTTTTTGATTATAAATCTAGGTTTAATGGTTTAGGCTTCACATCCTTGTATTCGTGTAATCGATTCTTTTGAATAATGACCTGATGTGATGATGTGGATTTGTTAAATGAGGATACATTGTACTTTTCATGAATCCATAATAACAACATTACATGTTTGATGAAATGCCTCAATAATGTTGTTGAATGTGATATTTCGATGATAATGTCCAGTAACATGTATCTGTAATTTATCCAGAAAAAAAAAGTAAAGAAAAAAAGAAAAAAAAAGAAGAAATGAACCATGGATGTTTTTCAATTGCCTAAGACAAAATGGGGCCATTTTAATTACGTTAGCCAAGGAATGATCAAACCGTGGGAACAATGGATCGAAGACATATTCTGTTTGTTGTTACGATGTTTCTCGTATTTGAGCGCATGGACCATACATAGGACATGTATCTTGCCTTTAGACGAATACATGCCACCTTTGTGGATGACATAATTATTTGGTTGAATTTGTAGGGATCAAACCTTCGATTCTGTTTGAAGGAAAAATGGCAAAAGTAAAATCTACCCAAAGAACAATATCAAACAATGAAGTGGCTGTTGGAGCAGGACGATGTCTTTCCCGACCCTTACAATTTTACTATGGATGTACCTTTCTGGGTTAAAGACGTGGCCAGTGAGGTAACAAAATGAAATACTCAGTTGTGAACTTTTGTGTATCAGACAATTTACTCGTGTCATCTAGCATTTTATTGATGCATGTGTTCCATTGGGCAATTTCATTCTATTACTTCGATAGACCTAATCCAAAGTGGGAGTCACTTGTGGCGACCTTCGTACCATTAGGATACTTGTTCGAGTATCCTAATGAGGTGAAGCATAAAAAAGACACCCTAATGACTTGGAGCCTAAAAGACACCATTATTGTCCAACAATAGAGTCAGTGGGTTAGAGTAACAACAATTGCCATGAAGATAATTATCAGCCATTGAACGACAACTATTCCAATTTCGAACAACAATAACAGACTCTTGCTCACAGGTAATTGACGTGGATGGTTTTCAGGATTATCTTCGTCATCATTAGATCAATATAATGTTGTGTATATTTGGCATTTTGTTACCTTGGAAGTGTATGAATTCTGCTGTTTTTTTACCTGTGTACATTTTGTTATCTCAAACTTGTTATTTTATTTTGGAAGTATGTATTCTGATGGTTTTTTGACTTGTTTACAATTTCTCAACTCAAAAACTTTTTTAATCTCTCCGGTTAATGGTACTTGAATGAATTATGTACATTTTGTTATCTCAAACTTGTCTATCACCGGTTAATGGTTTTTATTACTACGACTACATTTTGTCATCTCTAAATTATGGTTTGTTACCCTGAATTATGTGCATTTTGTTTATCATTCAGACTTGTTTAATATTCCCGTTTAATGATTTTGGAGATTGTGTACATTTTCTTATCTTAACTTGTTTAATATCATTAATTAATGATGTATGTATTAGTGTTATATACTGAAAGCTTAGCTTCGGATGATATTACACTTTTACCCTTTATGAATGAGAAACATGTTAGATTAAACAAGTTCTACGTTCTGTTGTTTTGCATTAGATAGTGTGGGTCATCATCGGGCGAACCGAAGATCATACTATCAGTTACTCGCGAAACAGGAATAATGGTTCACAACCTAGATGGACATGAACACCCCATCAGAACGGTTGTAGTGTCAACTGTACGGTTTGTCTTGACTGATTAGTTGCACTAGTACATTTATGTATTGAACAGGATCTCAGAGAGGAACAATTCATTTTACATTGATTGTCGTAAACGAACTAGGCCTCGATTAATTACTGCTTACTATTAACCCGTAAGATATTAAATAGGCATATATAGACTTGTCAAAATGGGCCTAGGCCCCCGCTGAAAAGGTGGGTTGGGTTGGGATTTTGAAGGCCCGCTAAAGAGCGGGCCTAAACGGTCTAGCCCGCGCGGGCCACGGGCTTTGGCGGGCCACGAGCTAGCTCGCCTCTGCAAAAAAAAATATACATTGGATAAACTGGGCTAGGTAATTTTGTCAATTTTGTCACTTTATCACAGACATCTCAAATTTGATGGGCTAGTCCATGTGAAATAATTAATAAAAAGTAGACAAAAGCATCACATACGGCCCACACCACTACCCCATCCAAACTTACAATTTTTAAGCCCGGTAGAAATTCCCCAGCCACTCTAAGAATTAGACAATTCTCAATTCCCAACTTCACGAACTACTCAGATAAGTCGACGAGGACGAATGCGAGTCTACGCACTAGCGAGTAGAGATCGAAAGGATATCACCGAAAGCACCCGCCGGGAAAAAAAATTGTCGTCGAGGAAGGAGAAGTGTGGGCCTTCGCCGCTAAGGCCTCGGTCGGCGGATCTATTGATGGGTGGTGAACGGGGTAGAATGGGATAATATTTTTTGGAAATAAAACTTTATATTTTGTAGTTCAATTTTATTGATTTCTTTTTAAAACTGTTTGTGTTTGAAGGTCATGTATTTTGAATTCTGGTTTAGATCCCCTCACCTAGTTATTACTCTGTGATTTTTTTTTTCTGCAAAAGTTTTATTATTCATTTTTTTTTAATTTAGGTGGGATGGCCCGCCTAGCCCGCGGCCCATGGCGGGGTTGGGCCTGGCTACCCTTTTTTAGGCCTGCCAATATGGTGGGCCGGCCCGCCCCGCCCCGCCAAACTGCAGGTTTTGGCGGGCTTCGGGCCAGCCGGCCTCGTCGGCCCATTTTGACATGTCTAGGCATATATGTGTAGTACTTATTTCTTTGACTCACATGGGTAGGCTTAGTGAATTGGGCCAATAGATCCTCTGTCTTGGGTAATATTGCTACATGTAGGATGTGTTGTTAGGATATTTACGGTCACCATGTGCGTTAGTTTGATGATGTCCCCGGAGTGAGTTCATGAAGGAATGTTA